GGGACTCGACCCTGCGGGAGTGCTTGCTGTGTCGTGGCACTCTCTCTCTCCCGCCGCGTCCTGATCGTGTCTGCTGTCCTGAATACAAGTGATACCATCATCTTCAACACACGTACATGGGTATAGTAACAGGAGACCCGTGAAGACGAACTCACATGTTATATACTCGTATGGAAGAGCAGTAGCTGTTGCCAAGGGAAGGTAGCGGACTGACTAGGATGGTGCCAGGATCAGCTGCTAAAGCAGGGGCTACTTGATCCTGTCCCTTGTTTTGTCCTTCCGTGGGGAGTTGTATTTCCCGCACTTTTCTCTGGGCATTAGCCCGCACTACCGTTTGTACTTTCCTACACATTCAAATCCCATAACACTTGCCCACCCTGGAGGTTCTCATACGCAGATGTAAATCTCGGAACTTGACGATTACTTGTCAAATCCCAACTGAGAGTATCGAGGATGCGGAGCTCCAAAATACCACAATTTACCCTCCCACACCTCTCACTCGATGGGTCGCAAGACCATCGTTTGACCTATAAAAAGAAGCTACAGGAAGTAATAAACTGGGGCTAAGAGAGAGGAAACCAACGGAAGAGCCGCAACAGGCGAAGGCTACAAATACCAAAACAGGTCAGAACCCGAAAGAAAGGGGAAAAGAGAACACGAAAGAAACGAACAAAACAAGCGTCGCCGGAGCGACGGAAAGGGAACGGTGAAAGAAGAAGGCCTGTATCGACAAAACGATAAGAAATGCCAAATAATCACCACGGTAGCGTGGGGGCGACAACAAAGGTCACGAAACATCTTTAGCCCGCAAACTTCTAAAGTAGAGGCAAATATATACGAAAAGGCACAAGCGCATCACAACGAACCAAAAGGCTGGAAACCAAACGTTTCGGAAGCGAAACCAAGAAGAAGAGGGGTCGTGACACTAAACAACAGCTGGCAAAACCTCGGCAGGGAACAGAGAAAGCTCGACCTGGCGGACTATTGAAGCCAAAAGAAAGAAAACAAGAAAACGAAAGCAAATAGTCTTAAGCTATTGTAAGAGCAACAGAAGGCAAAAACAAGCATGCCATCTCAATTTGGGCCCGCGAAGTCATGAGACAACGAAGCGGTCACAACGTCGCCACGCGACATGTCGATGTTGCGAAGGACACCCTTGAATAGAGCGCTGCCGCTATGTACTTGGAGGCGCCAGGATCCGGAGACGGCGGTTTCGACGGTAGAGTAGCGAACATCGGGAAGGGCGAGCTTGACAGGTCCAGGATCGTTCAAGAAGCGACGGTCCCATGTTGAACGGGAAACAAGCGAGTAGCCCGGAGGCAAAGCTCGCGCACCTTGAGCACGCGCCAATTCCCTGGTAGCGGCTCCAATGTGCATCGCACGATAACGGCGCTTTGTTTGGCGGTGTTTGTCAGGCGAACCTGCTCAATACCGGAGAATGTGCGGCTTGGAATGCTGCAGGTCCATCTCACGCTCCCAAGAAGGGCGCAGAAGGCCCTGCCAGTGCATACGGAGTAAGACCAGCAGGTAGAAAGCGCGGCAGGTCATTGGTGTCATGCGGGTTGGCGCAAGGCTTGCAACGCACAACCGAAACACGAGGTTCGAGTCTTGGCCCGGCAGGTCCGAAGGAAGATCCAAGTAAAGCAACTTGGGAGCCAAAGGACGACCGTCAGGGCTGTCAGAACATGTGCTGACAGCCAAGATTTTGAAGGGGCCAGTCCAGAGTAGAGATAACTTGGCTTTGAGAACCTTATCATTTGTGCCTGAAGGAACGCCTTGTCGAATAGTAGATTCGGAGTTAAACACCCAAACCCATCCACCAACAGTGTAAGAAGGAAGCTTATGGAAGGCGTCCGATAGGGTGGAATTACGCCGCTCAATCCGCAAAACGGACAGGTTATGCTGTTCACGCACCAAGTCGTAAGAACGACGTTGGCGATCAGCAGCAAGATCACAATATTCGAGTTGATCACGATGCAAGCTTTGGTGGCCACAAGCGTACGGATGCTCAAGAACAGTCATCGGTAAACGAGGCAATCGATTCATATGCACCTCATTGGGCGCTAAACCGGTAGCGGCGCTAACGGAATGGTTGTAAGAAAACTAGACGTGTGTGAGATTAATGTCCCAATCATCTTCTCGTTCGTTGACAACCATAGCCAACATGTGAGCCATAGTGTGGTTGACGCGCTCCACACCCCCATTTCCATTGGGATGGTACGAGCTAGAAGCCACTTTGCGGATAGAAAGACGGCCATACACGGCTTGGGACAGTTTAGAGCAAAACTGAGAGCCGTTCTCAGACAAAAGACTCAACGGGCAACCCCACAACGGGATATACCTGTTGACAAGGATGTCAGTTGTGCAATCGGCGGTGAATTCTGCAGCCGTAACCGCGTACATATCAGCACGGCGGCTNAAGCCACTTTGCGGATAGAAAGACGGCCATACACGGCTTGGGACAGTTTAGAGCAAAACTGAGAGCCGTTCTCAGACAAAAGACTCAACGGGCAACCCCACAACGGGATATACCTGTTGACAAGGATGTCAGTTGTGCAATCGGCGGTGAATTCTGCAGCCGTAACCGCGTACATATCAGCACGGCGGCTGAAACGGTCTGTAAAGAGCAGAATGTATGTGTTGCCACGCGGTGTCAACGGAAGTGGACCAAAATATTTAGTCGTCAACACTCACCGACACACCGGGGCCCGAAGGCAAAGGAAGGGACATGTTTCGCCACCGAGGAGTCTGACGAGACGATTTACGGGCTTGCCATCGCAAACAATGCCGCACCCACCATTTCGTACAAACACTCATGCCACCAATAGAAACGTTCCAGCATGCTAAGCGTGCGAGCCGCACCGAGGTGACAGGACGCATCAGCGTGGCAGACTTGCATGATCCACGGACGCATGAGCATGGGAACATAGTTCCGAATGGGTTCATCGTTAAGAAGGCGAGCAGCACGTCCGCCAGGACGTGTGGTCGTGGACGACGGGGTCGTTGTTCGCTTGCGAACAAGCAAGAACAAAACCATCATCGTCAACACGCAACCGGCCTTTGTTAGAGAGGTCACGAATCTCCGAAAGAGAGGGGCGACGAGCGGACGGAACACGGTCCAAGAAATCCGAAGGGAGGGCCGAGGGCCGACCCAGAAGGATGAAACGAATGGCTGCATCACACACAGGTTTGTTACGTTGCTCGCGAGCCCAATCAGCATGCGAGAAACGTTCGACGGACGCCCGGAAGGCTAAATCCGCCGAAGAATGTAAAGCCGCCTCGATAGAAGAGGGGGCTGATTCGCGAGGCGCCGACTGCAACCCATCCGAGGATAGAGGAGTAATGGAGGCCGAAGGCGAATGCGCGCGAGCGGTTGACACCAAACGCGACAAAGACTCCGAAGAGCCGAGGTCTGCAGGAGGCTGCAAAGCAGGAAACCGCAGTTGTGGTAGGCGTCGGAGACACAGGCTCCACTCCATGAGCCAGAGGCGCGGAGGGAGTCGAGGATAAACCACTAGCACCAGTAGTCCAAACCCAACTGGGCAAGGCTGGTGTCATCGACGGCGAGGAAGGCGCCGTCGGAGACCGCCGAAACGGTCGAGAGGGAGCGGAAATCCTCGTGGGAGACAAAGAAGGCTCATCGTCAGAAAAACCATAATCAACAGGCGGGAGTGGCGTGCCTGCCACAGCTGCCTTACGACGGCGAGTCCTGGTGGAGATCACTTGGGTGGGCTCGAGGATCCGACGCGGGTTTCCAAGAGCGGGAACGGCAGACGGAGGCTCGGGCTCGAGAGCCAAAACATCATCGAAAGACTGAGGTAGGGAACCGGACCAAACGATGGGAGGTCGATTGCGCAATCGCGACCGCGCCGAACGGCAGAACATTTCGGTTGGCAAGGGAGCGATCTTGGGCGACAAGGAAGCGACGTTCCAAATGCCCGATAAAGACGAGGGGCCTGGTGACGGTAGACGCGGACCGTGCCGACGGAAATCAGCGAAGTCAGCCGTACAGGGGGCAAGCCCACCCAAGACCGTCGGTCGCTTGGCGACGGGATGGGTCGCTTGTGTAAATTATACACAAAGGGGTCTCCTGTTACTATACCCATGTACGTGTGTTGAAGATGATGGTATCACTTGTATTTAGGACAGCAGACACGATCAGGACGCGGCGGGAGAGAGAGAGTGCCACGACACAGCAAGCACTCCCGCAAGGTCGAGTCCCGTGGATCAACTATGAAACCAACCCAGGGGACTATCAATTCCTGTCTGCGTAACCACTTCCTACAGTCCCGTTGGAATATTCTCATCCGCTCATGCACACACGAACACCCTCCCTGGTTCTTTTCGATAGAAACTAACCACTTAGTGGGCATTCACACGCCGGATGTGACCAAAAAATCAAACGGACAAAAAACCAACGAAAAATACCAACAGGGGGAAACCCGGCCTCCGGGTCAAAACCCCAACCAATATTCACCGTTCCATCAAACGCCCTATCCCAACGCTTGGCAAGCAGTAAAAGTGCAAGACTATCCTGAGGAGTTGGTTCAAACAACTACAATGCGGCTGCACTACTGATTGTTCTTCAAACAAACATCAGACAAACATCGAAATCGCCCCCCCTCGCTGATGAAATACAGCGCACCGGGGCGGAAGGCAATCATCCAACATTTTCTGAGCGACACATAACCGGCATGCATTTTTCGGCAATCCTCTACTCTCGTGGAGTACAACACTGGTGTCCCAATTTTTCCTCCTACGCTCCTTCAGCGGTTCCAACGGTATCCCATATTCCTGCACATTGCGCAACCTAGAGAACGGCACCACGTAGCCGCAATCAATGAGGGTCTCAACCGAATGACTATCAGGAAATACTGAACATGTGGACGCGAACGCCTACGAGAAACACGGAACACCCTCCCTGGCTCTTCAACCAAAGTACAGTCATGACAACTCACGAGGATTTACCAACTTCGCTACGAATACCATCAAACACCAAATACCGTCAAGAAAGAATTGCCACAATCCAGCGCTGTGATGCGTGTGCCTCCCCTCCCAGCGCTCGTCCCGGCCTGTAGCCTCGCCACAAAAGGAGTTCCCGTTTTAGCACCACGATGCAAGTACCCTACCCCCACGCGCCTTCCGACGTGCCGCGGGGTTCCCGCTCTCGCCCCTTCCGATGCGCCACGGGACTGCTTCGATTTTCTCTCCCCCTCACGCGCCGTCCGACGCGCCATGGGGCTAATGTTTGCCTCCCCCCCACGCCCTCCCGACGCGCTATGGGGCTGCATTGATTGTCGCCCTCCCGCGCCCCTCCCGTCGCAGCTGCGAGCACACGGCCCTCCCGCCGTTTTATTTGGTTGTTGCCCTCCCGCGCCCCTCCCGTCGCGGCTGCGAGCACACGGCCCTACCGCCGTGTTCTTTAGTTGTTGCCCTCCCGCGCCCCTCCCGTCGCGGCTGTGGGCACACGGCCCTACCGCCGTGTTCTCTGAATGTTGCCCCCCCACGCCACTCCCGTCGCGGCTATGGGCGCACGGCCATCTCGCCGTATCCTTCTCAATATTGCCCCCCCCACGCCCCTCCCGTCGCGGCCATGGGGCACACAGCCTTGCCGCCGGTTTTCTGTGTCTCCGCCCTTCCACGCTGTTGCAATGGTGCAATCTTCATCATCTCCTGCTGCTGCTGTGTGTGGATGGTGCGCGCGTAGTGACCAGCGCGGATATTGTGTCTTTCCCCCGCTTCTTCTTACAAGGCCTCACGTGCCACATCCAGCTCCTCGTCATCGCTCGCCACCGCAACCGCCATGACCGCCGTCTCGCCCTTCGCCTCCTCCTCGTCCTTCGCCGACGGGCACTTGCTCTTATCGTGTCCATACCCGTCGCAGTTCTCGCACTGGGTCATGAAGTCGGCGATGGGGGTAGTGCACGAGAACGACTGGTGCCCTCGCCTCTTGCACCGGTAGCACCGGCCCCTACGACGGCCGCCGTAGCTGCTGCCGTCTCCACCGCCGTTGCCGTTGCCGTTGCCGCTGCCGCCATTTTCGCCGTTTCCGCCACCGCCGCGTCCCCCGCGGCCGCGGTTGCGACCAGCTTTTCCGCCGCTGCCATTGTCGGCGCTCACGAGTAATCCCTGCTCAGACGCCTTGTGATTGTTGCGGTTGCTGTTCCGATGGCTCTTCCCCTGCTTGATGCTGGAGTGCTAGGAGCCCACCACTCTGATGACCTCTCCCCGGTCCAGAGTCGGTGCGGACTGCAGAGTCAGTTTGGCATGGTCGTACTCGGCCGGTAGGGCCGAAAGGAAGAGCGACAGCACGAAAGAAGCCTCGACCTTGACCCCTCTCTCGTTCAGACGACTTGCGAGTTGCTCCATGGCGATAAGCGATTCAGTCGGGTTTTTGTCGGCCGGCATTGCGAAGTTCTGAAACTTGCTGAGCAACTCCTGTGTGGCTACCTGCGATTCCGGGTTGTGCACCTTGTCGAGTTCATCCAACGCCTGCTTCGGCGTCACACATCTCCCGAAGACGGCCTTGTCTGGCTCCCTCACCAGGGCCGAGGACAGAAAGTGGAAAGCTTGGAGGCTGCGGTGGATCTGCGCCTCGGAGTACCCCTCTGCCAGCAACGTAGCTTTGGGTTTGTTCATGTCCCCGACGTCCGGCTGGGGTTCCGTGGCCCCTACGAACTGGCCGTCCATGTCTACTGTTTTAGCAGCCTGGATAAAGGCCCTCCTCCACGAGCAATATCCCTGGCCGCCTTCGAGACGCGGCGCGTGCACTGACACACGCATTTTGCTATACGGGTTCTGGTGAAAACCATCTCCTTCTCCGACGAATCCGCCAAAACCACCGGTACCGCCGCCATATGTCTCGGTTGTCTCACCTTGGGGGAGCGATCCCCTGTCACGTCCGCCACCCGGCCCAACCGCCGGGTCTGAGGGTGGCGTGATTCCCTCGTTTTGCGGTGCCCCCTCCTGGGTACCGCGGGTGGGCGCATCGCCCGTAACGACAGCGCCCACCCCAGCGCCGCCGGACTCCCCCTCCTTCTCTAACTTTCCGAGGGCGGATCGAAGCAGCCCAGCCAGCTGCTGTACCTCGTCCGGCAGGCCTGAAACTTTGCTCTCCAGGTTGTCAACTCTGCCCTGCGTACTAGTGGTGACGTCGGCAGCCTCTGCTGCAACATCGGCGCCACTCATCCCCAGCACGGGTTCCCTCGAGGGATACACTCTAGAGTGTTACTATACCCATGTATGTGTGTTGAAGATGATGGTATCACTTGTATTTAGGACAGCAGACACGATCAGGACGCGGCGGGAGAGAGAGAGTGCCACGACACAGCAAGCACTCCCGCAGGGTCGAGTCCCGTGGATCAACCATGAAACCAACCCAGGGGACTATCAATTCCTATCTGCGTAGCCACTTCCTACAGTCCCGTTGGAATATTCTCATCCGCTCATGCACACACGAATATCTCCCAGATTGCACCGATCGTACATATCCCTTACAACAACCGTCAACGGCCGGGAGCGGTTAGTCGTTTCTTCGATGTTTTTAACCGCCACGGGTTTGGTTGTCCACCGATAACTTTCCGAACGAGGAAGCAACAGCAATAGCAAGGCCGCTCGGTGGGAGGTAGCTGTCTTCTTCATTTTTCATGCCTAAGGTTTGGTGCCGTGGGGTATCGTGCACATCGGGAAAAATGTTTTGATCGACCCTATAGCTCTTTCCGCCTCCCCCCCTCCTCCCCTCCCCGGGGGAGGCCGAGGCCCGCAAGTGCAGTTAACCCTCGAAAAAACACCCAACAACGACGGATATACGGTCCCTAGCACCGTTTAAGAGAGGATCCTGAGTTTGGCGGTCGGGAGTTACCGCGGTCACCAGATCGAGGTAGATCGCGATAAGCCAACTTGGAGACAGTTGCCGATGGGTTTGAACCCAAATGCCCCGGTTNTGGGAAAGGCAAGCACCGGGTTAACTCTTACATCAACCCGAGGATCCGCCGGGCAATCAGGAAAAAGCAAACAAGAAAAGGAAGGAAGAAGAGGAGGAGGGGCCGGAAGGTGCGTAGGCTGATTAGGGATGCAGCACGCACCGCCCGG